CTTCCTATAATTGAAAAAGTGGATCCTCTCAATAAGGACAGATGGAATATATATGTGAGCATTGTTCAGCCAGTGCAGCAATTGTTTGTGCATGAAATCATGAAGAAGTGAAACCAAGCTAGCTTTGCTGTCATCTCAAGTTGAAAAATCTGTGGACATCGTGTGTGATAGGTCTGTAGGAGGTATTGAATTTATAGGAGGAAGATGTGAGCTGAAACAGGCTCGCCATGATTCCACTGTGTCTTCGGGAAGTCCGCAGCCTATTTAGTCTTCCTTGAAGGGTTCCCTGAAGTGAGTGATACTGTGACTCTTAGGTAACAGATAGATAAGCTGATTCAGAAACAAGTTTGGAACCAAAAGGTATAAAAATTTCGAGAGAGGCTGTGCTTGCTTAAAGAGAAGCTGCCCCTTTCCCAGCAGAGTTAACAAGTTGGTTAAGGAAAAAGAACACAGACAAAAGCAAACCCCAATTGTGTTGAAACTGGACACTTTCTGAAGAAGACAACTATCAGAACTACATTCCAAAAAGTACAGAGGCATTGGGGCTGGAGAGACGGCTCAGCGGTTAAGCATGCTAACTGTTCTTGCAGAGGACCTGAGTTTGATTCCCAGCACCGACATGGTGGCTCACAACCATTTATAACTCCAGGCCCATGGCATCTGATGGTCTTTTCTCTCCTCCATGGACACAAGACATGCACATGATACACAGCTATCCATACAGGTAAAACAGGTCATACACATAGAATAAATTCTTTTTTTTAAGTACAAAGGAGTTACCATGGCATAAAACATGAAGGACAGGTTAACTCTGCCACGGTGTGGCAATACCACAGAGTATATAAAAATGCAATTGTAGTTACCAGAACAAAGAACCCTGAGCTTCTAAAGAACAAAACTAAAAGTCATCTTCCCTTGCTCTAATAAGCTCAGAAGCGTAAGAGTCAGCCATCTTGTTTATGCAAAGGTTGTACATATGCTTTACCATAAAAAATGGGATAATACTTCAAAGAGGAAAGCTTCATAACTTAAAGTCCTGTTAATAATAAAATGCCCTTCCAGCTATCTGGAACCAGTTTGCTATGAAAATGAAAATGTTAAGGTTGTATTTTTACCACCATGATCAACTTGGAGCCACTTGGCCAAGGAAATACTTGGCTTGTGAATGCTGCTCCTCTTACCCAATATTTCATCACATCTGGCTGGCCATTGATGCAGACTCTAATCTGGATGTGATGCAGGGGTAGAAGTCACTCACTACTACTGATGCGGTGATATCCATCAAAGCTGCAAAGGGTGAAGTAAAGCAAGAAACTATAAATGCCTTAGGAACAAAAGGAGTTAAGTCATGAATGAATTTATGGTTTTCCTGGGGGTTGATGGGCAAATGAGAAAAATCATTCACTTAGCCAGTAGAGTTGGTAAGGACTTGCAGATGTACCTGATAAAGATGTGGAGGGGCATATTGAAGGCAACTAAGAGTCAGTTCTTAATGATGATGGATGGGAAGAACCCATGGACTCATGCACAGAGGAAGAAGAAATTGATGTGGACATGGTCTCCTTTTCCAAAGCATTTTCCATTGCATAGACAAAGTAGGACAAAATGGAGTGTGATTCTCTCTAGACTACAAATCCAAACTTAACTCAGACAAAGGCTGAAGGGTTACAACCCTCAAAACATCTGATGAACTAAAGAGTGAAAACAGCTTCCAGTCAGATGTTTCCAAAAGGCTTTTGATAGACACCTATGAATTAGGGCCTTGGATCATTAATGTTGTCTGTTCTGGATATCTAGCCATTAACATTGTCTCAGCTTAATCACAGAACCACCAAAGAAAGATTTCCTTCTCATATACCTTCAGGTTATGACCTTTTGTGGAATAACAGCATAGACTTCAGGTCATCTGGTTACATTGTATCAAACCACCTCATCACTATGGGGTAATTGTCTAAGAAGTATTAGATATTTAAGGAGGGAGGGGGTAATATCCACACAAACTTGGTCATATGTTGTATTCTTTCATCAGCTATAGCTAATATTGCACTGTGCTTAACAAAAACTTCATCCTAAGTGTGTTAGTTGTGGAAAAACATAGTTCAACTAGGGGCTAGTATGAGTTTAAGGCATCCAGTGAAGGACTTGAGATGTATCCTCTGAATATAAGGAAGGGGCACTATGGTTTATAATTGATAAAAAGCTTGCAATTAAATAGGGGCAGTGACCTGATCAGCTTAGTGTTTTAGAATCAATTACTGTGGTAACAACGTTTAGAATAGACCATAAGTGCCAGAAAAAAGTAAAGGAGGTTCCTGAAGCTGGCTGCGGGAGAGCCGACCCTTACTGCGAGCATTTGGGAGGCTGAGGCAGGAAGATTGTAATTTCAAGGCCAGAGACTCCATCCAAGAACCCAGGGGCTTGGTTTGTACCTCAGTGGTGGGGGGCTTTCCTAGCTGTGTGGAGTCCTGGTTTTGATGCCCAACACCGAAAGAGTGGATGAACGAAGCCAGCAAACAAACTTGCTCCTGAGATAGTTGAGGGATGGTGGTTAGAACAGGACAGTGATGGCAGGATGGAGAAGAAACCGAGACAAGACTGAGATTAGGGGGAACTTTACTTAGGTGGCGGAGTCATTGCTTACATCAAGGGTATTTTGTTTCCCTGTTTCCCTCCATCTTTTCCCTCCTCCCTTCTCTTCCACATGCAAGGTTAGCCTCAAGTTCACTAAGTAGCCTGGGTGACCTTTTGCCTCTGGCTCCCTGAGTACCGACATTACTGTGAGCTACCACACTTAGTTACTTTACTTATTTCTTAGATTACACAAGACAGTGGGATGGATTGCTATGTGATACAAACAGTGAAACTTAGAAACCAAGTCTATGCCTCTATCTGCCACCTGCCCCAACCCCAGGGTTTTTCCCTTGGCAGGAACCACTGCTACTGTTTTGAAATGTATCCTTTTGGGTCTTTTTCTTTCTGTGTGTTCTCTGAGCAACCATTAGTATCAAGTTTTAGATATATAATTTACATACTTGATACTCTTTACCTGAATTTTTCTAATGTAACCAATATCTTAGAGGTTTTCCTGAGTTAGTACATAGTAGGTGACTTCATTCTTTTGACTGCTACATACCCTTCCAAAGTATAGCCTCCTTCTGTATCTCCTTTGATGGATATTTAGTTTTGTTTCCCCAATTTCTCTTTTCTAGTAAACAAGGCTGCAACGGAAATGCGTTATCTCTTTTCTGGCTAAGGGTGGTTTCTGGGAAGAGGACTCTCTGCTCCCTGGATATGATCCTGTGTCAGTAGCTCTTTCGGTCCCTCTCCTCGGCTAATGTAGTTCTCTACATTATGGGAGTCCCCTTGGCCCACGCTCTCATCAACACTGGCTTGGATCAAGATTATGTTCTTATTTATAAGCATGATATTATGGTATTTATTTACCGTTGTCTAATACCAGGTGGGACTGCACAATTTCATTGCCTTTTGTGTTCCTGTGAACTGCTTTTAACCTTTCATCTACCAGTCTGTAGTGCTCTGTTTTTCTTGTGAATTTGTAGGAGTTAAAACATCCTTTATACCCTAATCATCCCTGGGCTTTATACCACTGATATCTTCTTCAGCCTCGTTTGTCCTTTCTTTATGGTGTGTTATTGTCTTTTATGGTTTCACATTTGTCAATTTGTCAATCTTCCCCTTAATGGATGATGTTTGTAAGGGTTTCAGAAAAGCCTTCTTGGTTCTGCTTCCCCAGGCACAATGACTGGATGTCCTGTCATTTGTAATTTGTAAAGGTTGAGGTTGAAGTGTCAGCAGGAAATTCATGCAACGTGAGCTCAACAGCAGATGGGTATTTCAGAATGGAAACGAATTCAAATCCTTCACTGGGGATACAGACTGGGACTCTCAGAGTGGAGGGGGTGTTGCAAGCAGAGGTCTCAGAACACCCAGAGAGTGAGTATGTAATGCCAATGGGACTCCACTGAACAGCAGCAATTGAGACGGATGTATGAGTTAGTCACGAGCACACTGGGACAAATATGGATGCTTTGTCCCAGTTTGGATGCTCACCGGCTTGACAAGCATCTGGTATGTTAATTCATGGAGGAGAGGTGGGGTTCTTGAAGAAAAGGAGAAAGCCTTACACCTAGTCTTCACGGAAACTGAAAACTGTTAAGTGTGAGTAGGGATGACAAGAGTGAAATCCAGCATGGCCAAGGAAAAAGCTGGGGCCAGAGAGAATCAAAAGTAGTCAGATGGGAGGGTTGGAGTGATGTGCCTCTGAGCAGGCACAAGAAGCTGATTGGGACATCTGCGAGAGACCAGGTGTCCAGCAGGTCATCTCTAAGTAATGGCAGCCTTGACTGACAGCCCCTGTGGTGGTATTGTGTTCCCCAAAATATCATGTACCCTAATAAACTTATCTGGGGTCAGAGAACAGGACAGCCACTAGATACTTAGGCTAGAAAATGGTGGCACTCACACCTTTAATCCTAGCATTCCAGAGGTAGAAATCCCTCTGGATCTCTGTGAGTTCAAGCCCACATTGGAAACAACCAGGCATGTGACACATGCCTTTAATCCCAAAAAGTGAGCCTTTAATCCCAGGGAGTGATGGTAGAAAGGAAAGATATATAAGGTGTGAAGACCAGGAACTAGAAGCATTTGGCCTGGTTAAGCATTTGGCTGGTTAAGCTTTTAGGCTTCTAGCAGCAGTTCAGCTGAGATTCACTCTGGATGAGGACTCAGAGGCTTCTAGTCTGAGGAAACAGGATCAGCTGAGGAATTGGCAAGGTGAGGTAGCTGTGGCTTGTTCTGCTTCTCTGATCTTTCAGCATTCACCCCAATACCTGGCTTCAGGTTTGATTTTATTAGCAAGAACTTCTAACATTTGTGCTACAAGCCCCAGTGGCAATTACTTGGCACCCCAGACTGTAGTTGTTTGGGGACTTGGTGAGTCAAGTTCATACCCATGCTAACAAAACACAAGCATTCACATGTTGCAGACAAAGTAAAATTTATTGAGACAGACAGAACTGTGCCTACTCAGGACTACAGGTAAGCGTTTGCTATTAACCAAAGAGTTGTGTTCACATTCCAGAAAAGTCTACATGGAAAAGCATTCAGAGTACTAGATTTTCTACATCACTATTTCACCTACAATAGGGACAACAAACGGACACTCTGGATATGATGGGCTTTTGTTACAAGGCTACACATTGAACAGGGACAAACATCAGTGACTGAGAAAAGGTGTAAAAAGACCAAAACCACCCATTGTAGAAAGGGCTCTTGGATGTTACTGTACAGTGTGGTCAAGGCAAAAAAAAAAAAAAAAAGCAAACCGGACGCCAATGGCATTGTGGGAAGAGCAGAGGGCAGACCTGGACAGACAAATCATCATTTCCAGTATGTAGGCATCAAGGAGAAACTAAGAGAAAGCTATATGAAGGCATCCCCATGCTGAGAATATCTGTAGAAACTAAACACATTAATATGGCAGACAGTGAACCATGGTGGAAGAGAATTCTGAGGTTTAAATTGGATGCCTCAGTAATGGTATTAAATAACTGTAGAATTAGAGTAACAGTATCAACTGAAGGATTTGTAAGAATAAGTCAGTAAGGATTCAACTCAGTACCTGCTTAAACAAGGGGATAGTCATCACAGTAGATATGCTTTAAAAGAATCATGTGGTGCTTAGAATTATTGGGATTAAATTATTGTAATTAAAGGTTCCTTCCAAACAGGGCAATGGAAGTTCTCCATCTCAGGAGAAGGCGACACAAAGTCTAATTTTAAGTACTATTATAAAGAACTGTCTTTAAAACCCAAGGTGGGGTGTGAGAAGTGGTACTGGTGCTGCTTTCTTGATGTGGGCTCCAGACCTCCAAGGGCTTTTGATTTAATATTTTAATGAATCAAAGTATCTTCTTGGAATGTCTCAGAAAACGACATCTCATTACCTTCCTGGGAATTGCCCATTGAGCACTCTTCTCCACCATCAAGATAATGTTAAGGAGCTCCAAGTGCCATCTTAATGTGACACTTGTCAGAAGATAATTAGACAAAATAAGTGGTTCATTGGGTTCCTAGAAGTTTCTCAAAGAGAAATCAATTTGCTGATTGTTAATTTGTTCTCTTGTGCATTTTTTCCAAGCTCAAAGGAAATAATAACAATGGCTTATGTTGATGGCCTCAACTGAGATTTCTAATATGTCTTTTTAATGTATTCTATCACAATTTAGCTGCAATTGAGCACCTGTTTTCTAAATTATGATCTAAATTATGATCAATTTTGAGAGTGGGAAAAAACAAAAACAAACTTTGGGACTGGGGAAGATGTTGTTGAGATCCCCAAACTGAGCAAGTCTGCGCCTCCACAGAGAGGAAGCACACAGAATCTCAGCGTCCTTGTGTCTACCAGGCCAAGGGGGCAAACGGCACCATGTGTTCATTTCCCACATGAGAAGAATACTTGGGCCAATGTAACCTTGTCCATCCTGTGCAAGGAGGGAAATACTAATTAAAGGAGGATTACTACATACAGAAGACCAATTTAGGGTGGGAGACTGATTTGTTCAAACTCACTTTTTGCCTGAGTTAATAGATCTGTCTTGTGGACTGGCTAAAACTCACTGGGGAAGGCAAGGGCAACAAAGAGATAATGCTGGCAGGCTGTGGCCAGTTAGGGCAAAGTAGGAATGGTCCCTAACAAGTCATGGCTGGTTAGGGCAACTGGCTAGGCAGGAAGCAAGTAGGCAGAGCTTGGCAAACAGGCCCTGACCTGAATGGGGCTGCACTGAGGTCCACTCTTTGGTACTTGTGTGAAAGAAATCTGGAAGAATATAGAGACGATGTCATTACTGAAACTAGATGCCAACAATGAGCTTAGGGAACAGATGATGATAAAACTGCTTCCGTGGTGTCTCCCATGTATTGACGAGTGTCGGAGGGGAGGCTGCTGACCCCCTGACTAGCTTCTTGTGCTATGATGAATCTCTTCCTAGGCCTCCACTGGGGCTTTCTATTAAACGATAGGTGAGAAAGAGGAACTCTTAGAGCCTTTATACCCTGGTCATAATTTGTGGATAGAAAGGGGGGAAAAGAAAACATGAAGAATCCTAACTTTTTCCCTATGGACTATTATCATGATGCTGTCTTCTTGGCGAGCAGGAGCTTGGTAGGAATGCCTTAGAAAGAGCCCTTGCGGGTAGAGAAGGAAGCTGCCACAGGCAGAAATGCTGCATCCTCAGGGGAGCTTTGAGCTAAAATGAAGAAATGGCTTGTGGAGCTGCCCAAGGGGGAGTTGCATGGCTTCTGTTGGGGAGGGGACCAATTTAGGCAAACAGAGGTTTATTCAAATCAAAAAGGCTTCCAGTCACTCTGTGACTGCGTGGAGGAGCCTCCACAGGCTGTAGGCTACACATGCCAAGTGTCAGTGCAAACAGGACTCCAAGAAGAAATTCATCTACCAGTTTGTGTTCTGCATCTGGAGATGTTGACTAAAAGCCATAGTTTTCTAAAGTGTTTTCAGTGTATGGTGTACAATCAGACACTCAGCTGAGAGGTGTGTGTGCAAGTCATGTCAGCACAGACACCCATTTGTGGATGTGCAAGGGGGAGCATTGAGATCTTAATTTTAAAAAGGGAATGAATTCTCCAAAGGGACTTTGACTGAATTAAGGCTGTCATTGTAGGAAGCCAGATACAGTGACATGAAAATTAAATTTTAATAAACACCAGAGGTGGTGGGAACAGGAGGAAAAGGAACAGCGTGGCGTGTTTTCCACAACATCTACAGGACACAAGAAAAGCACTTAGACACCATAAGGCTGGGAACCATGCTGTAATAACCACCGGTGTGGGTGATCAGAGAGGGTCGTTGACATTTGAGAGGGTGGGGCTCCCCGCACTGTTGGATTCCACATAAATCACATGCTAGTTGCAAAAACCTTACAGGAGGGAAGGAGGCTTTTCTTAAGCCAGCCATTCTCTCATCCGATGAAAACAAAAACAAGAAACAAAAACAGCATCCTTTCTCCCACACAACTGTTTGCAAATTCAGAACGCTCTGGGAAGGGGTCTTCCAAACCTTAGCCCTGGTACAGAGAGCGACAGCGGAGAAGAGACCTGCTGGCCTCAGAGTCTTAGATACAAATGCAGGCAAAGGAAGCGACTTGCAAATCTGTGCCAAAAGTGTGTCCTCTTCCTCGTGGGCACTACCATATGTACCCAACCTCATCTTCTTTGTCATCGTCTTCGTCCTCATCATCTTCCCTCACAGCCCGGGTATGCACCCTCAGCTTCCCCTCTTGGTCATTTGGTGCCAGCTCCCGCTCATCTTCCAGATCATCCAGCAGGACCACGGAGCCACCGCTGCCAAAGTCTCCCGAGGTTTCCTGCTCCTCTTCTAGCACAGGAAGGAAAGACTTCAGGTTAGCGCCCACTGTTCCTAAAGGCCCATGCGGGCTCCCTATGCTTATGACTTGAGTTATAGGATAAAGCCAGGGCATTTACTTCTGCAATGTGGGAGCTCAGCTTGAAACAGTCTCTAGGGCTTGGCCCTGTGAACAGGAAAGCTGTCCTGGTTAATTTCTTATCAACTTGACACATTTGGGAAGAGGAACCTCAATTGAGAAAATGCCTCTATCAGGTTCCCTGTAGTCAAGCCTGTGGGACATTTCCTAGATCAATGATTGATGGGGGAGGGCCCAGCACATTGTGGGTGGTGCCATCCCTGGGCTGGTGGTCCTGGGCTGTATAAGAAAGCAGGCTGAGCAAGGCATGGGGAGTAAGTCAGTAAGCAGCAGTCCTCCATGGCTTCTGTTTCAGTCACTGCCTCCAGGTTCCTGCCTTGTTCCTGCCCTGACTTCCCAATAAGCTCTTTCCTCTCCAAGTTTCTTTTGAATACAGTCTTTATCACAGCAATAGAAAGCCAACTAGAACAGGGCCCTCGAGTACCCCAGGTGCCTCAGCCTTGCCAGGAAGGTCGCAGTCTTAAGTGCTGTACCAGTGACAGTCCCCTGACTCAAAAACTTGTCTACTCAGTGCTATCGGTGAGTATCTGCTGCTAGCAAAACCAGCTTTGCATGAGGTCATGGAATTCCAGCATTTCTGTCTCCATTGCATACTCATGACAGCCAGAGCTGGCTCTTGGAATTCTGCTGTGATCCCTACACAGTGAGGTCCCCTGGGTCAGCTGGGGCTGGTGCAGGAGTCTGTACTCACCGCAGCTCACAGTGCCCTGTTTCCTGGAGCCAGCAAGCTCGTTCCCGTATTTATCCACACACCAGCACTGCCCCGTGCTGCCATGACACTGCGTGGCTTTGTAGTAGCCCTCCTCGTTACACCGAGGTATGAATGCCCCTGTGGGAACAAAATGGCCAGTTTAAGTCAGAGAAACAAGCATGGAGGCTTGGGGCTAGTGCCGTTTAAGACAGGGAGGAGGGCCCACATGTAAGCAGAAGATCTGCTGCAGGGCTAGCAGGAAAGAATGGGGGTTGGTTGGTTACTATTTTGTAAACATTATAGGGACCTCAGCCTTGAAGAGGAAGTATACGTTGGACTCCAGGAAGCTCATTCTCCAATTAGGCTTGGTAATAGCCAAAAGTACTGAATAGTTATACATATTCTGGGCACTAGTCTAAACCATGTACATTATATATTAAACATGTTCACATAATTTATTTCCTTTGAATACATATACAGCTAGGGATTTTGATGAGTTTCATGTTTTTGCTCAAGTATGCTTGTGATAAAAATTTGGAGAGTGTGATCATTAATCTTAATTATCAACTTGATTGGATTCACATTAGTAAAGCCCATCACTGAGAGGTATCTTTGAGGGCATGACCTAATCAATGGGTTAATCCCTGTATGGATTCATAACAGGCTGGCATTATTGGAAGTACAGCAGTGTAGAAAGACATAGACAGTTAAGGGGGCATGTGATGGCAAAGCAGCCCCCGTCTCCAGGGTCTGACTGAAGCCCCATGACAGTTGAGAGTAAAGAATTCCACCACAATTAATATTTCCTATAAAGATTGCCCACGGAGCAACAATACTCCTTCTATATTGAAAATTTCAAATATGGATTTTAAAATTAAAGTAAACCAAGCTGAAGGCCTGAGCCCATGTGACGCCTCTTTCAGATATTTCCTGAGATGCTCACTAGACAAGGCTCTCAGTCTCTCATGTGCTTTTTGTGGTGTCACATTTTACCTTATCAGCTGGAATCCTCCTGGCATTCCTCAGGAGCCACCCTGGGATCTCATTTAGATTCCTAGCAACCCTTTGAAGATGTAACTTCAGAACCCACTAAACTTGTAACTTTGACTGCTGTAAAGACAGTTAAGTGCCACCCTCCTTGGGGAAGCCCACATCTGTAATAGTGTGTCTTTTCCTTTCCCCAAGTGCCTCTCTTTCAATGGACCATCATGCTTAAATCTGTGTTTAAAAATCACTTTGTAATGAACTTCAGTTTTGCTTCATACTGGCTGGCCCCAAGAATCCTTTCTGTGGTGAGATCAGGGGTCTGACATTACCTGAGTGGAAGCCCCTAAAGGAAGAAGGAATGCCTCAGGCTGCTAGCTGCCATACTGGGCTGCATCTGTTTGTGTGCTTCTGCTGACTGGAGCAGATGAAAGGTAGGAGGCGGGGTCTAGTTAGAGGAAGTATGTCACTGGGGGCATGTAAGCTTCCTGTATTTTCTTGACGTGAACTGCCCTGCCATGATGGCTGACACCCCCAAAACAGTAAGCTAGAACGTACGTTTTAGCCTTTAAGCAGCATGCTCAGGTATTCTGTCAGTGATGAGATCTTAAATGCGCTGTTTCTTTAAATTATTTATAGCTCTATTTCATAATTTGGTTCATGGATCAGCAACATAATCTGAAACCCACTTTAGAAATGACTTGTTTCTGGTTCTAAGTCAAAAGTCCATTTTGATTTTCTTTTTAAAAAGAACTTATTTGTGTTTAGTGTGTGTGTGTGTGTGTGTGTGTGTGTGTGTGTGTGTGTGTGTGTGTGTCCTTGCCTGCTTGCATGCATGTTTATGAACTGTGTGCATGTAATTCTCATGGAGACCAGAAGGATGCATCAGGTACCCAGGACCTGGAGTGACAGACGGTTGCGACCTGCCATGTGGGTCCTGGGAACTGAACTAGGATTCTCTGCACAGCAAGTGCTCTTAACCCTGGAGTCATCTCTTCAGCTCCCTGCACCCCCAGAGTCAATTTTGAGGGCAGTAAATACCTTCCCTCTGTACTGGGTTCGGATTGTTCACTTTTAAGTCAGGACCTTTTTGCCTCTTACTGTCAAGCTTCCTCTGTTCTGTTAGTTTGTGAAAGAACCAGCCCTCTCTAATCGTTTCTGGTTATTGTGTTCTTGGGGTTTTGAGTTGAAATCTAGTTCTGTTCATTATTTTTGATAATGTGTTTGAAGTTACGTGTGCTTTTGTGGACTTCACGTTGTTTCTGTGGAGTTGGTGTATAGCCCTTTTATATTTTCATTCAGCCAAAATTTTCAGCTCTGGATTTGTTTTAATTCCTTGACATCTCTTTTCCTCACTGTCTAGGCCAGTGAGTTTGAGATGCGCTTATTAAAAATGTGTTTTATCTATGGGACTGCCCATGACAGGTATTTCATGCAAATCTGCATGACTGCATATGCAAATATGATTGTGAGTCACACTGTTCAATTATTCTATATCCAATTTGTGTCTACTTGAGCTGCGTTATTTGTGAAAGTCTATTATACTTAGTCTTAAAGTAATGAGGACACCGGCAGTCTATGACACGTCTTACTTCTTAGAAGGTGAAGTGTTTGCCTTCCCAAATGTTCTCACGATATAAAAAGGAGCATTTTCCATCTTCTAATTTCAATTTTTTGTACATATGTTTTAGGTGTAACTTTGAAGATACTTTCAAGTTACAATCAATACTTCCTGTCTCACAATATGTCAGTCCGTCCCATGTGTACTGATTGTGATTATGGACTATTTTGTTTCAAATAACTCTGGACTTTGGAATTATAACCTCTTTTTAATGTTAAAAAAACATTTAAGTGGAAAATGCTAAAGGACTACTGAACTTGATGTTGTATTTACATTTCTATATCTGTATAAAGTAATGATTATAAATGTTTGTTTAAAAAATTATTATAGCCACAGTTTGACCAAAAGTTTAAAGGATTGATAACAATATTATACCCATTAAAAGTCCTAAGAGGCACACAAACCGAGTTGCACTATGTAGGGCAGCTTTTACTGTTATGAACCTGGTGTTTGGATCTGGCAGAATGTTATTGGTGATTTTTGTTTTAAAGATGTTAACTATTTGCATATATGGTTCTGTGTGTGTGTGTATGTGTGTGTGTGTGTATGTGTGTGTGTGTGTGTGTGTGTGTGTGTGTGTGTGTGTGTGTGTGTGAGAGAGAGAGAGAGAGAGAGAGAGAGAGAGAGAGAGAGAGAGAGAGAGAGAGATTTTTCTAGAATTGGATGTGTTTTTCAATCCAGGAAGAGAACACATAGAATGGGAAATGCTGCCCCCATAACCTCAGCAGTAGTTGGAAACCACAGCATCTAACAGACCACAAAATAAATTAAAATTGGGCTGAGCCTTCAGGTTGGTGAGAAGCAGGTGTTGTACTAAATCTATAATTTAATAAGATTACTGCTTTTTCTAAGTAGGTAGTAATTATAACTGATTATAATTTGTTGTTGCTTGTTTCGTTTATTTATTTGAATCTGAATATCCCTGAACACACAGTTGTTATATTAGGAGATTTTCTTCATGCAGAAAATAATTTGTAAGCAATATAGATGGCATTTGTATGAATCAGTCTGGGTGAACTCAGCATGTGGGAGGGTTGAGATAAGACACAAGTGGGATTATGGTAGGAGAAAGGCGGGCAGTTGTTGGATCATATGCATTGAGAACATGAAAATGAGACATGTCAGGTGGCATACCTTATATACAAGTCATTAATTAATGATAAAATCACCATTGCTATGGAGCTTTAAAAATATTATAATTGCTTAAACTGCATGTAGACCATGGGTAGATCCTCAAACCTAAAACATCACCCTATGTAGAGGAATACAATTAGCCTTCAGAAGTCCGTGAGTTGGATAAAACCTATGTAGGGGATCTCCAGACATCATGCCTTCAGCCAGAATGACGTCGTTTACACTGACAAACCAAGACTGCCAGGGTCAAAGGCACAAGCTGAATGTTCTAGAAAAAATGAAAAGTACAAGGCAAGCCATGGAAATAGGTCTCAAAAGAAGAACAAAGAGGGGTGCACTATGAGGTGACCCAAAACTTCAGAGGGTGTGGGGCCAGCGTTTGTAGAATGCTTGCCTTTGGCAATCTTTAGGGAAAATGTGCCCATCCCCTTCAAGGAAATAGATTAACTTCTGAAATGGTGGGCTGCTTAGGGGATGCATGTGCCTCTGAATGCTCAATGAGAATAATTCTGAATTACTATGTTGCAGCTGTCTGCTCTTTTTAACAGGGAGAGAAAGCAGGTTCCCTTTTCCCCAAATGTGATTTACCAGTGTGCCAGTGATGGCCACCACACCCCCTCCCCATCCTGGAGCTAAGAGGACCAAAAGGGAACCTGTACTCCTGCAAATGACCTACTTCCTCCTTAAACCCAAAGCAGTGTCTAAATAGGTGGGAGACTTCCCTCCAGAGAGGCACATGCCCTTCAACACTATCTGATACATTCTGGTAGGGCCACAGATTGTCTTGTTCCTTAAATGGACAACTAGCCCTGGCGGAGAGAAGAAATAGCCTAACTGAAGAGCCTTTCATTTTGAGAGCTGGAAAAACACTCGTGGGCTCTATTCAATGGCTTTCTGTGACAGGGAGAAACCCAAAAGTTAGTGTAGCCAGAATCAGAGCTCCCTCAGAGAACAGAAGACTGAGCATGGCCGAGCTGCCTGCTAGCCCTGACCTGACCTCTGGCTTCTCTTGTTGGTAGAGGCCATCCTGTGTGTGCCAGCTGCCTGCAAGAGCTCAGGCTGGGGGAGAACGAGGCACTTCTTCCACAAGACACTGTCCCTAATTGAATAAACACTGCAGCGCCGAATGTTACAAGAGTTGTGGATGGTTTAATTAGTTGTTCTAATGAGTGGCAAGGAAGTGTACTTACCCAACAGGCTTTTCCCCTTGCTCAGCTTCTGAATTCTGTTCATTTCATTCTGGCAAGGGAGACCTAGAAAATAATTTATGGAAGTCAGTTTCCAGATGGTACAGAATATAATCTCTAATGATTGACTCCACTCTTGATGTGAAATGTAGGCAACGACACACCTGGGTGTGGAACTGCTCCATATGTTGTTGACTGTGTAATAAAACAAATTCAAGCCATTAGTGTTACTAATTTTAAGAAAAGCTGCATATCATATGGCACTTAGAATAGCATGTGGAGGCTACTTATATAATATAGGGCACCTCCTACCTACACCAAACCAAGCAATACCAAGTGTGGCCCAAGGATGTTTTCATTTTCTCAGCAAAGGAAGCATCCAAAAAAGGCCTCTCAGAGCTAAAAAACTGATGCTAAGCCTTACAAGAGGGCAAGAACTCTGAATATACAGACCAACTAGCCAGGGATGTCAATGCTTGACCTACTGCAGCTCCTGTCTCATGGGAGAGAGGTTAGAAGCACTCAGGCATGCCTGCATGGACATGGTAGCCACATGGAAAGGCAGTGAGCTAGCAAAGACATCCAGAGCCAGACTCCATCAAGGTTCTCTCTGCCTCCTGAATACTCAGGCCCCCAACATCTCTTCACTACTTTCAGCTGCTGAGTCCTCACTTGTGAAACATATGCTGTGTGAACAACCACCCAGGAAAGTGCTGTGAAGGACAGACAGGGAGCCACACAGCTAAGTGCAGATGACAGGGAAGGCATGGACCTGTGTGGTCTCCCTGGAGAAGAATTTACCAGTAGGCAAAGTGACAAAGACTTGCCTTTGTCAGTCTTATGTGTTTGGCGGGTCCTGCCATGGGCTCAGCATCCTTGTGGCTGAAGGAATTCCACACCTTTGTACCCACAACCATCTCTCTCTACAGCGCCACTTCTGTGTGTCACTGTACGGGCTTTACAGCACCACCTGGACACTACTGCTGCCAGGTGAGAAAGACGGGGCTGCAAGACATGTTTCTGACTTCAATCAGGGTAAGGGGAAAGAGTGAAGCAAATCCCACTGTGAGTACGAAAGTAGTACTTACTGTGACTAACACTACCATTTACTGAAATGTTAGAATGTTCTAGAGCTTCTTAAAATCTTTATAACCACCATACAAGACAGGCACTGATATTATGAAATTCCCATCCACAGAGCAGAGACAGCTGATGGGTAGAAGGATGATCAGACTGATTAGAACAGAGCACTACTGTGGGATGGTCTGTATGTCAAATGTGTTGCTGATTGGTCAATAAATAAATCACTGATTGGCCCGTGGCCAGGCAGGAAGTATAGGCGGGACAAGGAGGAGAATAGAGCGGGGAAGTGGAAGGCTGAGTCAGGAGACACTGCCAGCCGCCATCAGGACAAGGAAGATGTAAAGTACCGGTAAGCCACAAGCCACGTGGCAAGGTATAGATTAATAGAAATGGATTAATTTAAGCTGTAAGAACAGTTAGCAAGAAGCCTGCCACGGCCATACAGTTTGTAACCAATATAAGTCTCTGTGTTTACTTGGTCGGGTCTGAGTGGCTGTGGGACTGGCAGGTCAGAGAGTTTGTCCTGACTGTGGGCCAGGCAGGAAAACTCTAGCTACAGAGCACTGTTCTAGTTAACCATAAGTTCTTCAAATTTTCCTGTAGTAGTTTTGAAAACAACTAGTTTAAAGAAAGAAAAATTAAACGGATGGAAACCTACTTAAACACAGACAAGAACAAGACAAACACACAATTTTTTTTTTCATTTTTAAAATGAAAAATTCATCCTGGAAGTTATTTGCTGCTGAGCAGATGACAACCCTTAGTGGAGGGTTTGCTAAGTCGGGGATTCAAATGACAGAGGGAACTATGGAAGAGCAGGGCTCAGGACAGAGGCGTGCGGGCTCAAAGATGACCGAGACACAGGAAGAAAGAAACAGACAACAAAGAGACGAAGTTCACCTCCAAAGCCAGGAGATTTAAATGAAACATCTCTGTGGAGGCTGAGAAAGACGATCCAGAGAGAGAAAAGTTCTCAGCACAAACTTAAATGAAGAAAGGCTTCCTGCAAATGAGAAAGAATCGAATTCTAGAGTTGAGAGACATACGGCATCACATCTCATCGATGCGACACACTGAGCTAAGGCGGCTTTTAGGAAATGAAGGGCCTTGAGCGGAAGAAGAATCCTGCATAGTTCTTTTTTGTTGCTTTTGGCCATGGTGCTTCACTGGGGTGACTTAGAAAGCAAGGGGCTTAGTCTGACCCACACGTCAGGAGGCAAGAGTCCACCGGACCTTGGAAGGCATACCATGCGGATAGGAGCAAGAAGGTGGTTGGTGACATTTCCTCTACACACAGGAGGCCGAGGGAGGGAACAGGCAGTGGGAAGAGGCTCTACCTTGTAACGGCTCCTCACCCTCCCTCAGCAGCAACCAGCCGGGACCAAGTGTTCAAATACTCCAGTCTATGGGGGACATTCTCATTCAATGCAGAACAAATCCCTCTAGCTTCCAGGCACAATGGTTACATCACTCGTAAAAGATAAAAAACTACCATGGCTTCATGTTCTCAAGAATAAAGCAGGACTATTTTCAAATATTTCTACTAATTGTCTTCTAGAAAGATAACTTCCAAGAAAATTTTGAGAAAAATCTCAGAAAACTAAAACATCCATAAAACTAGAGAACACCACAAGATCTCAGGTTTTCCTTGGGTCATAGGTCACAGAGGTCATTGGAGCCTTAACCATAAAGTTACCAGATGTCAACATGTGTAACATCTCTAGCTCCAGCTCTGCTCTGGAGAAAAGCCTGGAGTCTTGAATGTACTTTACATTGACCTATAAATTCTAAGTGTGACACCCCTATCATCTTTAAGCTTCTTTATGAAATTATGCAGCAAATCAAGCAATAAGGAAGAACATGGAGGTAAAACGGAAGTGAGAAAAGTATACAAAACAAAAAATTTTTCTCAAAACTAATCCTGGATGCTGCATCGTTCCAAGGCATACCACAAGTGGGAGTCCTGACTTCTTCTCGCACATGCCAAAGGGGAGCTTGTCCAGAGATAGCCCTGTGGCCAAGCACCTAGCTCAGTACCCTGGGTATGGCAGTGCATAAACTCAGCCAGAGGGCTGGTCAGACTGTGCCATAAGCATTGTAGACCAAAGTGAACCAATTGCTATCATTTAGCTCCAATTTGTGTTAGCTAATATAGAGAGCAGAAAGAAATGAAGCACAAAGGGGAGGGGAAACAATGTAATTATAATTTAATATTCAAAGAAAAATGTATCACTGTTTGCATGATACAGTTTACACCGGACAACACCAGAGAGCCAACCAGAACAACTGAGACAGAGTGAGAATTTGGTGAGGGAGGAGAGGGAAAGAGGATTCGTTTACAGTCGTGCCAAGATGGGAAACCGTGATAACAACGAAGCTGAAAACGAACGCCACCAGCTAGGACACGCCTCTAAGCTAAAGGACTCAGCATCATATGGCTGAGAGCAGTCCAATTTATTAAAAACTGCTCTCAGCCATTGGACAAATGCATCCTAAAGTTCAGGAGGGAAGGAAAACATGACTATCCAGAGCATTCTGGTATAAAAATTGATGGCAAGAGAGGAGAGACCTAGAATATACCCAGACGCAAGGTCGGTCAACTGTGATTTAAACTGTTTTATTAAACTGTGAGCTAAATGGGATAGAATTGATTGATGGATATTTAGGAAAGTGGGACTTAGTATTCAGGAATAAATCTAACACACATGCACATATATCAGACATGCTGTTCACAGGAGAAAGATTAGTCAATAAATGACAGAAAGGCAGCTAGGCAGTTATCTTCAGGTTTGGAGCAGCAGCTGAGGCCTCCTGGACTGTGTGCACACATAAGGAGTAATGCAAAAGGTGAACCAACACAAAACCACCGAAGTGAGCAAAAGCGTGAGAAAGCTGCTTTACTAGATTCAAGTGGAGAATACCCTTCAAAGCCTAATGCAAGCTTCATGACTTAAAAAGGCATAGAATAAGAAAAGGAAGACATGCAATTGTGTCAAAATTTAAAACTTTCTCACTAAGAAGAAAAATGCACAATGTCAAAGTTGGAAAACAATTGCAATATTCATCACAAGCAAGTCTCTAAGTCCATAGATTTTCCTACACAATTTAAATAGGAAAAAATGTACAAAGAACATAAAATTACTTTGAGGAAATAGAAACCTGAGTGTCCCAGAGATGAGCAAAGTTACTCAGATTCATTCATGATAAACAGAATGAAGCCAGTGGGGAGTGTGGCATTGCTTTTGTCCCACTTTGGCAATAGTGACTAGGTCTGATACTGTCATGAAGAAACAGCATTCTGAATTTTTTTTCTCTCACCAAAAGTATCTAATACAACTTCTTTGGAAGGCAAATTGGCAACTGTGCTGAAATGTAAAGACGCATGCTCTGCCACTGGGGATATACCTGAGAACTCTATGAATGTGCACATGGAATTATTCTTCACTGAAAGCTCTTTGGAGTGTCTACATTTTTGATGTGTGTCCCGGCATCTTTGTGCACATGCATAAATATTGCAAAATTTAAATACTATTAGTAGACAGCCAGGCAGACTTCTGGTCCACTGGGTACAACCCCAGGAGGCAGAGACAGAAGTAAAGCCAGACAGGAAAGGCGACCCAGGGGAAGGCAGAGCACAGCCACTGGATGGAATGCTGCAGCAGGCTGCCTCCTTTGCCTGACTTTGAGTGACAGGAGACTCCTGATATCCTTCTCTATATTCCTTAGATCCAGTGTCTTTTGTTAGCTGTGGTTTGTTATGAGCAAAATATTATAATTAAGGAGAATTCATGTGACAATGGGAAATAAGATCTTCTTACATTTGTATAATATTTTTCACACTGAGAATCTCATGGTGGCCTTGAGAATGAAGTATCTAGGGTTTCTACACACCCATTTTATAGATGAAAATTCTAAGCATGGTAAGGATGCTTTCTTTCCCAAAGGGAAGAATTTCTCAGTGAGGAGCCACCCCCATTTCACTCTTAGTTTCCTGAAATGTCATGTTAAAAGTAGACAGGTGCCCTTGGGCTTGCTGTCCGTAGGGTGATTGACAGCTGTGTCTTTCTGGGCACAGATCTCTGTGCCCTCCCTGCCCAGCGCAGCTGCGGACCTTTGGGTCCCACCTCACCTCCTGGCTTCTGGAAGCAGTAGCACCACTCATTGTTAGAGAGTTTGCCGTCCTTGAAGGAGTCACAGGAGTTGAAGAGAGGCTTGATGCAGGGCTCATACTTGTCTAGGTAGATGGCGTTGATTTCCGAGTGGTCCAGCAAGAGGTCATAGTTCATGTCCAACTTGTTGAACATCCAGCCCAGGGAGTCCTTGCAAATGGGCAGGATGCTGGTGTCAAACCCTGTGAGAGAAAGGGGCAACTCAGCCTACCAGGCAGGGAGCACACTCTGCTGCCCCGGAGTGGCCAGGGTGCAGCTACAGAGTCCTCTCTTCGGGCTTTTTCCTTTATATATGAGACATATAGATGTCCAAAACACAGCCAACTTTGGGGAAAGTATCTTCCAAACTGAAGTCGTTCCCTATGATACTGTATCTGTGGCACACATATGAGTTCCACTGTCTATAAACCTGCTTGCAAGAGGCGTCTGAAAGGAGAACGAGGAGCACACTGAAACACGAGGTATGTGATGCTGAAACCTGAGCTGACCTTTCTAGGGAAAAGGGAGACTCAGAACAAAATACTGGAGAAAGGAGTTGGGGGTTGGAGACAGCAGCAGGTGAATGAGACTCGGCGGCTCCATCTATCCCATAGGACCCTTCGGCCCAGTCTGAGGCTGGAGGGCAGAGCACCCAGGACCTCCTGCCTCTCGTCCCTCTCTTCTTTTCTGCAATCCCCCAAGGAGACACAGGAGATGGAATCCAGATCCACTCAGACAACCATTTCTTTCTTATTTCCCCAGGGAAGGGGAAGTCGTTTTTCCTTAAAATTTTTCTGTTTCTATGTGGAGACTGTAAACCAGGAATGCTTGCTTACACTCAGCTCCACACCCTGGAAGCCCTAGCATGGCGGACAGACACCAAGCCCATCTTTCTCTCAGAGTCAAGGGATGGTAAAAAGCCAGGCTTATTTGAGGCACTGAGTCTCGAGGAATGGCTTTATTTTCCTAGGACACTACAGATAAAATGTTTCTAAGTGCTACATGCTTCATTATCTCACGAAATCCAAGTAGCAGTCATATGAAATGTCATCATTGCTACCATATAGATGAAGAAATAGCAAGATCATATGATTTCAGAATTAGGATTGAAACCCAGGCAGCCCATTCCAGATCTAGAGTCCCCACATTGTATCTTCCAGCTCCCCGTGCCTTCTTTAATACATCTGTCCTGAAAGGCATCCATCTGGCTTAGAATGCCATGCCTGGGATACAGTGTCTGCAGCACAGGGTCCTGATGAGACAGACTGTCCTCTTCTGTTCTGCACCACGGGGAGCCTTGGTCTAGTGGGACTCAGAAGATAAAGCAATATCTTCATGGCAAATCTGCACAAAAATCTACACAAAGACAGCAGTTACCTCCTGTGAGCTCTCAGGGGAGGCCAGGCTTTCCCCCACTGCTGATGCTCACTAATCAGGCTAGAAGATCTCTGAGGGGAGACCTCCATTTTCTCTTTAATACCCTTGGCACTTTGGGCACATCTTATCAGTAAAAATATTTGTTTTCCAGCCAGATAGGAGTTTTCTAGCCAGTTTTAAATTTACCCTTTTAAATAAATCTTCACATATTTAAATTTATTCATTTTGCTACCAAAGGATAACATCCTTTAAATTTTTTTTCCAGATGAGGACTATGGATGTGACATGGCCTCTTTTTTAGTGACTATCATGATTATCAACCAGAAGAAATGCCAAGCTGTGTGGCTTAGTCAAAAGGTCAAGCCTGCTCTACCCCATTTTCAGTTTCAGAAAAGGGCACCTGCACCTGGCATATGCAGCTGTCGGAGCCAGAGGACAGAGCTTGGAGCGAGGCTCAGGAGCTGCCCCTCAGGACTTACGCTGACAAATGTGTTGCTCTTTTCTCTGGCTTCCTAGGACCAAACTGTCCTTCCTCTACACACACACCCCCACCACCCTGGTGGCTTCAGATCATCAAGCCTACAGTGGCTTTGGGAACTGAGTTGACCCTAGGTATACTGGTATTTCCCAGGCTCCCACCTGTCTACAGAAAGGCTCTGAGGACTGATTGGAGGCTTCGAGGACATTTCTTCCCAATAGCCTGCTTTCTGTGGAGAAGTTATTCTGAAAGCCTGGGGCTGGGCTGCTGTTGGGCGACTCACAGACAAGCTTTTCTAGATGGAAATTAGTGTTCACAAACTCCCAAGGAACTTCTGGGAAGAATGGGAAAAAATAAAAAAAACCCAAACACCAACAAAACAAAACACCTCTCTCACCTCACCACCCTATAGACACAGCTACCAAGAACTACCTCCTGTATGGCACATTCTGAGAAGCACGCATTACGTCACCATTAAGGCGAAAGCGTCAAGTGGCTACACTAAGCATCCCTTCTCTCAGGACTCCTCATTCACCTCTCCAGGAAGCTGTGGGTGTGAAAGGATTACTGAACACTGAACGTTCAGATCACTGTTTTTGTTCTTGAGACAGCATCTTTCCATGTGGCTCAGGCTAGTTTGGGTCCTATCTTTAAAGGATCCTCTTGTTTCAGCTTCCCTAATATCTGGGAAAGCATGTGGACTGCCACACTGGGCTGGAGAGCAGAGTCAACAGTGTTACTTCTCACCTCCTGCCTTCAAGCCAGGAGCATTACTTTCACGGTTCCATCCAAACAACCGGAGGGAAGGAGGCTGGGTAAATACCTTGACCAGGTCATCTCAAACGCACACCCAGTCAAAGTACCTGTGTTTAAAGGATCAGGTGGATCAGTGATCTCTATTGTAGCAGTTAGCACAACTACCTTGGAATTCAAAGCATGGAGAGGAGGAGTATAAGTATGTGTGGGTTCTGGGGGCTCCTTCAGGAGCTTGAGTGTTAATAGGGAAGAAAGGGGAAGGGCACCTGTCTTGGTTCCTGGTGAAAGTTAAGCCCAGCTGCCCAGTACACACAAAAAGCACATTATTCAAGCTGCTTGAATGTCCCAATTAAAGGCTCCTTAAGTTGTTCTATCCATGATTAGGATCCTATTTGGCTCCTGCAAGAAACTACTCAATAACACGAAAGCATAATGATATATCTAGGTATTTAAATTTCCAAATGGTGTATCAGCCTGTAAAGTGTGTAAACTTTCCAAAACACATGAATTTCCATATACAGCAAAGAAAAGTACTTCAATGTAATACGGTAGCATGCTTAAGTTGTTAAATGGGTAGGTAGTACTGTATATATATGTATATATTTACACACAACTTTTTTTCTATATAGTATATTTACTAAAATATCTCTATAAAGCATGATCTCTTTGAAATCACATTTTTCCAAAATAAAAGATATATCTCTCTTGATTCTAAAGCACCACCTCTCTTTAAAAATTTAATGTTTCTAAAATCGGGACTTGTTTTAAATCTCTTTAACCAAAATGTGCTGGTGATAAACCCATGTGTCTGATAATCGAGAAGAGGGATACTTAGTTTGAAATAGCAAGAACAGAGTGGTCTTACTGCCTTGGGCTGTATCAGAGCTGGTAGGCTTGATGACTCTGTTGGCATCCTCATGAAGAGCCCCGAACCAGTCCTTCAGCCGGGAAGCAAGGTTCCTCAGCTCCTTATCTGTGCAGGCTGCAGGGAAACACACAGAGCAGATGGTGAGCACCTGGGCTTTGCACCCTCAGTGTACAAGGTCATTGGCCAAGCTGCATTCAAGACAATCTTCCTTGCCCAGACACTCTGAAAACACCCCCCGCCAAGGAATGCTACTGTCATAAGTCAAACGTGGGACAAAGAAAGATTGTCCTCGATTCCCAGGACAGACAGGCTGTTCAGACTTGAACTGTCTCAGATAAAGCAAGCTGCTGGCACTTCACATTTGTGCAGCATCCTCCAAGTCTGACTGACATCCCTTTGCTAAGCACATAAAACTTGTTATTGCAATTTTGCCAGAGAACATGACACCTTCCAGTATGCTCACACTAAGAGATTAACCAGCTCATGCTCCTAGGAAGAAAATGTCGCCGGGCGGTGGTGGCGCACGCCTTTAATCCCAGCACTCGGGAGGCAGAGCCAGGCGGATCTCTGTGAGTTCGAGGCCAGCCTGGACTGCCAAGTGAGTTCCAGGAAAGGCGCAAAGCTACACAGAGAAACCCTGTCTCGAAAAACCAAAAAAAAAAAAAAAAAAAAAAATGTCTAGGGTACCACGGGAGCCCATGAACAGCATATTGCCCATTTTGGATTAGGACAAGGTGGACTTGTGAATCTGGCCTCATTTTTTTTGCCTTCCATGTACTCATCACAGCTCTCCACTACTGACAGGTAAACGTCCTGACCATGGAAAAGCCCTTTCTGCCTCAGCCCTGGTTCCCCATTTTAGTGTATGACAGAATGATGGGGGCTGATACTGATAAGGACAAGAAGAAAGCCAGTTTGATGGGTGGCAGCAGATAAGTGGGTGCAAACAATTTGAGGGTATGTAGTAGGCTGTGACTTGAAAGGGGAAATCCCAAAGGAGGGGATGATGGAGAGACTGGAGCGGACTCTGAAAAGCTCTCTGCCATTTCTTCAGGGCCCACCTTCATTCTGAGTGAGAGAATCTTAGCTAGGGGTGCAGCAGTGGGATGCTCTCAGGACCATGGAAAGGAAGCACTTGTTTTGTGTCCTTCTGCAATTAGAGAAAAGTTTAAAAGCCATGAGACCAAAAGGGAACCAGGAACAGACCTTCATGACTCTTAGCTTTTCCAAACTCTAAAGCTGGAGTAGAGCAAGTAAGCTAAGAGGTTGAGCACCCCACTGCTCTAATGGGGAGCTAAAGCTGGTCCTCTCCCAGTGTTGAGAGGACACAGCTGGTGCCTCAGAACATGCTGATGCTCCAAGCTTTCCCCTGAAGCCTCAGAGGGTAATGATGGAGATACAAAGTGTCATCCCAACCCCACTCCAGCCTCCAGAAAGCACAATGCTTGACTGAATCCCAGTGCCAGGCCCCAGCAGACAGCCTTGTTGTTGGGGAGAATGCAGAAGAGGGCGATCCTCGGCAGGCGCTGTCCTCATTTTACAGCTCATGTCTACTGAACCATGGGTTGGTGCAGCCAGCTTTGCAGACCTCCCCCAATAAAGGTCTTTCTCCAAGATCAAATGGGTGTGGAAGTGCAGGCCCAAGCTGCCTCCACACAACTGCCATATTTCATCCCTCCCTTCACTTCACATAGGATGCAAGCTTGAGTCTCTGCATGGCAGCCAGTGAATGTGTCCAGCTATAGATGCCAAGGTGCTAACGACCCGGAGGTCCTGCTTTGCCTTTAACACACAGACCTGACTATAGTGTGAAACACAGGTCGGAAGTGGAACAGACTATCTTGTTGGTAGTAGAATGTCACACCATGGGGTCACGCTGACTAGAGTGATTCTCAGTTTTATCATCCATCACAGATCTATCCCTAAATCTCCTGGGACCTCAGTTTCCTTATCTGTAAACCTGGGGTAATAAGGTCACAACAAACCTGACAACATGGTCCAAGCTCTTAACAAATGACACGATCATTTGCAGAATGTGCCAGATAGAGCTTTAGCATTTTTTCCCATAATTATTATTTTAAATGGAATGTTTAAAGGTAGACTTAGTGCAAGCAAGTACTGTACATCTCAGAAGGAAAAACTGTAAACCAAATGCAAATAATCAAAACTGGCTTTGGCTACCCACAAATTCATGCAAGTAGATACTTGTGTAATCCTATATAAGTGAGTTGATATTAAATAAAAGTACAAACTAATTCCTTGGGTACATGTCCCATCCCAAGTTGGCTCATTGCCCACCTGGCAGAGACCTTGCACTGGGTAGCACAGATGCAGATCTTGCCACCAGAGCAGGCTGCCGCACTGGTTGGAACTGGGTGAAGGTGGCTTTTATTCTCTGATTTCTAACTTCACAGGGGCTCCCCATGATAACTAGCTACCCAAATATGTGTCTTTCCCCCTTCCCTTTGGCCTTTTGAGCCAGATTGAGAAGATTGTAAGCTCCCACAAGCCACCTCCCAATACCTCTGCTAACCTGTGCTCATAAACAGGAAGAGAAGCAGTTGCTGCTGAAGGCAGAGGTTCACTTATCTACTCCAACTCAGAGCCTCTGAGGACCAAGCCTGTGCCTTTCTGACCTGCTCAGCTCTAAACAGTAGTACGATGATCTAAAACCAGGATATGAACTCTCCAGCCAATCTCACATTTGGAAATTGAAAATTAATAGCACTCATTTTCCATCTATCGCCAGTGCACCATCTATTTAGAAATGTTCTCTGAGCAGAGAAAATTGCCAAGTCAACTCGCAATGAAATCACTCACACACTGAAAGATAAATTAGTCAGCCATGTTTGACTAAATCCTGAGACATGCAGGTAACCTGTATATTCATAAGCCTGCTGGATTTCCCCCAGGCTTCACAGAGCACGGAGGCCAGGGAGGGCTGAAGGAAATGGGCAGCGCAATCTTGAAAGAGTGAATGTGTCACTCAACAGCAAGTCTGGGAGCAGGGAGCCATGGCATGGCTGGAGTGAGATCAGAGGACAGAAACAGAGATAGAAGACACTCAATTACTGGGCCCAGTTCACTTGGTATCTTCAACCGAGTGGTCTTTGTGAGGAGAAAGCCAAGCACAGTCTGCCTGGAGCATGATATATTCCAGAGGAAGTAATAAAGGGTGACGGCCTGCAGAGAGCTATTTGTTCAGATTTGACACTCTAGCCACAGCACAGGCTGGCTGCCTCTTAAGATGTCTATCACTCCTCCAGATGGTGGGACTAACTGGAAATCACAATTTAGGAACTGGGAAGCCAGAGAATATTTCCCAAGGAAAAGTAATGTTTTCCAGAAAGAAACTGTGAACCACACCCACCTGCCATTCCTGTACTCTGCCAGGAAGTGGGACAAATCTTGTCACAGAGGAGTTCTGTCCCAACCAAACCCCTACGTCTCCTGGTGGGAGAATCAGTCTGCAGAGCAAATGATGCTCTCCTGGGGAAATCTGGCTAAACCAGGACAACCTGGACCCTGTTTTGCTACATTATCTCCCAGCATGTGGGCATCACTGAGGTCAACTGTATTCGGTTCTACTCCCTCCCTGTCTCTATCTGGGTTTCTGTTGCTCTCTTCCTCCAAGAAGTCTCTGCTCAGAGTCCTCCACTGAAATCCTATTTTCCTGCCTGGTCACTGCATCTTTCTTACATGATTCAGTCTGCTCCAACAGGACCCACTACGACCCCTCTAGCAGTGCCACGGCCAGGAGGCAGGAAGTGGTCCTTCAGATATTTGCCCTCAGAGCAGACATTTGGAAGTTGCCCTGGATTTCCTCATGTTCCTCACCTTCCCAATCAGTTGGCCACCAAATGCTTGTTTCTCCCTCTGTCTCCACCGCCTACTCCCATCCATCCACCACGACTCACAACTCTTCCCCCCTGGGTTAGCCACAGCAGGCTCCTAACTCCTCTCCCAGGCTTACTCTCTACAACCTCCCAATCCAGCAGCTACAGTGAGTGACCATTCTGAGTTGGACATTGGGTCAAGTTACTTTGTCTGGCTGTTTCTGAGGCTCCTGGTTGCTCTGTTGGCTGAGCCTAAGTCCATGATTTAAGTGGCCTGTGGGATCAATCCATGGTCTTCCATGCGTTGACCTTGCTGGCTCCCCCCCACACTCTTTACCTCAACATCCCTAACCCTGTTGCCTTGCCCATGTCTCCCTTACATCTCAGCTTTAAGGTTCTTTCTTTTCCAAGGTCTTCCAGCCCAGTGCCATCTCCCTCTTGATCATAAGAGCATAAACTAGTACCGTTAGCCCTCAGCATGGAAGGCAGCCCGTTACCTGTTTGAAGGATGCTCTCATTATGTAGCTATTGATGGACTCTCATAACCCTCTCACTGCCTTTTGTAAACTGTAGTTTTTCCATCTGTGAAATGGCAAAATGAAGCTTAGCTCCTGGCATCATTGCATGGAATAAGATATCAGCAAAGCATAGCTCACAGCTACTGGCATGTAGCAGGGACTCATCTCCCAACTATCTGCATGATATGTTGGGATTTTATTGTTATACTTTATTTTTAAGCCTGAGGAGATACTGATGCTATAAAGAATAACATCTCCTCTCATTTAGTTTATAGCTGTGCCAATAGAAGACCAAGAGACTGGGGTTTCGATTTCTGTCTGCCTTCTAGTTGGATAAGCTATGTGATGGGTGATTGATGTGACTTCCCCGCACCCACATTCCCAGCCTTATTGTAGGTGGTATGTAGTAAGTGTTCAAAATATATTTATGGGAAGAAAACATGAATGATTGATTGAGCATATTGGTTGCAAAGTCCCAAGTCAAATGTTACACTAAGTGGTAGGATTGGGGTTTGAAGCTAGGCTGCGATCTTGCAGAGTCAGTTCTATGCCGGGAGGGTTGGGGGAAGCAGCCTCCTTGGATAGACTGACTGGGCCTGTGGGTAGCCAGCACTAATGAATGCAATTAATAAACCTGGTCATGCCTTCCCCTGTAATGGAAGCTCCTCCAGTGACACAGACAGCCGCCAGCCCAGCAGTTCAGGGTGGAGGGGCAGCGAGTGAGGCTCTCGCCTTCATTAGCTTTGGGGTGAGAACAATG